AGATACAGATATCAGTACGGCGAGTACGCATGCGCAGTTACAAGAGTGACGCAGCCATTTTTTCAGTTTGACGAAAAAGCATGACCTTTTCTAAATTCAATTTCACTTCGTGCGTCATATTCATCAATAGACAAAATTGAAGGCAGAATCCTTTACAATTTTCTGCCAATCTTGATTCGCAAATATGCTGGTTACATGTACAGTGTTCTCCTCGGGCCTTTCAAGCACTGCTTGTCGCGCCCAGGTCGAACCTCGTACTTGTGATCCATTATAAGGGCGCATTGGATTGTGGGAAAATCAATGTGTATCAATACAAATATCGCGCATGCGCAGCGCGACGACTACATGTGCCTGTGAAATGCCTATTTTATGGCTTATATTACATTTGCAAGTACAAATGTTAGTCGTTGTATGATCACAACAAATAAATTTAACGCCAAAAAATGCTTTAGTTAATTGCACGGTCGCTGAGCTATATAAATATTCATGAAATTTACATAAAGAAAAGTCCATGGAGACGTCACCATGGGCAAGCGTACTGGCTACACGCAATGTCGTTCGTCCAAGCAGTATTTTATCGTCGATTTTGTCCTTGTCAGATGACACAGACAAACTTCTCAGATTATGAGAATTATGAATAGTCTACGGGACTAAATGAGCCATATAGGTTTGAATCTTGCGCAAAAGTCGCATTTTCTGACGACTGCTCTACTGTCAGAAAGGCGAATCAGCACAGATTAGTAAATACGCATTAGTAAGCACTATTTTCCGGTTTCAGTAATACTATTTCATTCTTGTTTGGGAAGGAATGATTGCCCCGAACGTGGTTATTCCGCATAGCACGTTAATGTAAGCGTAGTGTGAAAGGCCTGGCCTGTGCCGACAGCAGCCATTTTGTTTACATAATAGTTTACGTGCTTCTAATAACGAGAGAAACTTGAGTTGAGTAGATTCTGATAATCAACCCAAAATATATTATAACGAATGTCAGGCGGTTGCAATAGTACAGTCAATTTATATGTTTCATCCAAATAGGTGCACCTGTAATGGACTGTGTTGTTATGCCTACTGCAATAGAGTGAGTTTGTTGCTGTGGCTTATCACAAGTTACACTCAAGATGGAGGAGTGTCAACATTGATTCAGTTGTATTGTCGAGCATCCGGGATTTGTATCTGTGGGTATTACAAACTGCATACTATCATTATATGCAACAATATGGTGGAACACAAACTGAACACGAAAATATGATTCACTTTTGACTTGACAAAAGTATATATGTTTATTTATTGACACACAAAGTAACCCAGTGGCCTGCCAAAATTAGTAGCTGATAATACCACTTTATGATAAATAATGTTGTTCTATTTTCCTTACTTTAACCATGAAAAACAAATTTCTTGTCATTAGATTTTACTATAATTATGTTTTCGTTATTACAGAAAATAGAGATATATTGCATATTGACAACTAGTGAGAGATGGTGTTGGGGTTACTTAGGAAAAGATGTAAGAGTGACATTACCAGCCTGCGCAGTTCAAAAAATTAGAGGGTTTAAGTTGTGACATCTAGGTGCATAAAGGTGCTTGATGCTACACGAACACAAACTTATTTACACAATATTTACACTAGGCAACAATGCCCATTATAATTTTATTTAGAAAATCTTGTGATGTGTTGCTGAATACCATCATCTTTATTAGGCCTGGGAAACTGGCCGTTTCGTGGTTCAGGTACTGCACCAAGACGTGGTAGGATAGGTAGGCCTTTCACACACTGATATATTTCCAGTAAAAGCTCGTCCACATAACCTGTAGAGATAGAAACAAAGTTTGTCGCTGTAAAAAACAAATTTTGAAGTATATATATTTTTACTGTAACTGTTTTCAAAAATGTTCATTATGTAGATTATTTTTTATTCAAAATCTTCCCCACGACTTTCTAATGGGTCAACTTCTTAGGCTAAGAAAAACAAAATTGCTAGTCAATTAGTTTTCTAGGATCTTTCTGTATTTACCAGTATTG